GGGGTTTCTGTGCTTTTCCTAAGCTAGTTACAATGGTAGGAAGAGAGGAGAGGTAAAAAGAGCCCAGAACTTTGAGCGTAGTTATGAAGGGTTCTTTCATATCATGACCCACGATTAGAATTTATGCCACTTGCAAAGGATAACGAAAGAAGAGACTACAGAACTGAAGGTCTTGTCCTTATAAATTCAAGAATAGGAATCCCTTACACTGTCCTATACCATCAAGATATGGGCTTGTGGATGAATGCCAAAATTTTGAGCACAAGTGGCATATCACTTACTTGTCTCTACATAAAAAATATTTTTGCAGAAATATTATTATTATTTTTATTATAAAATTTGTTGGTATTTTGTTGAGTCACAAATTAGGTATGCTTCTCTGTCAACAATTTTCCCTACAGCTTGCCTTTATGTCTTTCTTTAAGGACAGGTAAGGGACAGATGAAACAAAGTTTTTAAGTATTTTCCTTCCTGATTTTCTCTCACACCTTTCTATATAAAGATATTATGAAATCCAGTGTGCAAAAATCATTATGAGCTATTCGTGACAATTTAGCAATTTCCTCTGGCAACTAGGTTAGGGAATCAGGTTAGTAGTGTAGCTGATTTCATTAGGTGCCATGGAAAGGGAAAGATGCTGTGTCAAAGAGAATCAAAATTATGTCAATGGCATGCCGAAGATATATGCAGAAGTTATGAGACCGTATGCAATGCACTCTAAAATGAACTATGTATTTTTCTCTCCCTTTCTCCTCATTTACATCTCTCATATCTTACTAGTTTTCACTTTCCAAATTCATTATTATTATACCTAATAATCCTACTTCCGTAGTGATACTGCCTCGGAAACCCAAGGAGGGGTCGCTATGAGTTGGGTTTGACTCGACGGCACATAACAACAACAACAAAATACTGATTTTTGTTTTAAATCATTATGCTTGATTTTTGTAAATGTCCAATAAATTAGCTGATATACAACGCCATGGAGCTATCTTGGTTGTGTTAGCTATGGTACAGACACATGCATGCAGACTTACCACTTTTTTTGTGACATTATTTAAAGATTATTTTGAACTCATCAAATTTTAGAGCTGAAATAGTTGTTCACTTTTGTACATCAGAAAAAGAGATGCTGAGAGATTAAGTGAATTTTCCAGGTCAGCAGAAAGTAGGGAGATAATATTGTTGTCACTTTTATTTAGATTAAAGATTGTCTTATGCAAATTTGGATCCAGAGTTGGGTCCGACTTGACAGCATGCAACAACAACAGTGAATTATTCTTTCCTATTTTTATTATCAAAGAAAGGGAGGAAAATGTAGTATTTACTGCCATTG